AAACAAATAACTTTATGTAGCACTTTCCAGGATTTGGGTGACCAGATCAAGAAGATTGCTATATGAAAAAAATCTCAAAACTCCTTCGGATTTCTAATCTTATTCTTATCAGCTCAGCTGAAAATACGATGTGATCAAGCAATCAATTGGTTGTTCAAAACACAACATGCATTGCACCTTCCACAAAAAAGGAAATGTCTCAAGGCACTTCTCAAAATATAATCCTAATAAATTAAGTAAATATTTGTTAGATGGACAAACATGGCAGCTAATCTGTGCTAACAATATTCCATGAACAATTGAATGATACCAGGAATGGGGAACCTTAGCTATGAGGGCAGGCTGGAGAAGTTAGGACTTTTCCCATTAGAGCAGAGAAGTTTACGTGGGGACCTGATAGAGGTCTTCAAGATCATGAAAGGTTTCGACAGGCTAGATAGGGAAAAGCTGTTTCCGCTGGTAGGTGTGTCTGTGACCCGTGGTCACAGTCTTAAGATATCTACCAAAAGAAGCAGAGGGGAGGTGAGAAGAAATTTTTTCTCTCAGCGAGTTGTTCAAATTTGGAATGATCTGCCTGAAAGGGTAGTGAAGTCCAATTTGACAAAAACAGCTTTTAAGAGAGAACTTGATAGGTATCTGGGGAAGACGAGTTTGCAGGGTTATGGGGAGAAAGCTGGTGATTGGGGTTAGTGAAAGTGACTTGCTCTGTCAAAGAGCCGGCACAGACTCGATGGGCCGAATGGCCTCCTTCTGTGCCGTAAGATTCTATGAAAATTCTATAATTAGAAATGCAGCCAATTACATTTGAATCTGGGAGTAAATTTGGATTAGGCTGAGGCAAGATAATATCAAAAAAATTCTACATTTCTTTGAAACATTGATTCTTTACAACTACCTAAATCAAAAGATAGACAGAATCAAAAATTTCTAACAGGAAACTGCTCTATCGATACTCACATTTTAAACAAGTGAGAAGTTGTTTCATTAATACATCAAAAATGGTATTAAAAATTGTTCAGATCCTAATTCAAGAGTACTATCTACCAACCATAATTAAAAATGAAAAAGTTGTTTAAATACTTTAACTTTACACTGCCCTTTCCTCATATTCGCCCACAAATAACACAGTCAATTCACTTACAGTATATTCTGTGAAGCGCTTTGAGACGTCTAGAAGATGTGAAAGGCGTTATATCAAATGCAAGGATTATTGTATTATTATAGTGTAGCTATCATTGAAACATTATCTGATGCCTACATTTTCTCGTACTACATCATGCGTGGGAGGACGTATTAGCACAATGAAGTTTACAGTATCATCGATCTCTAACCATGATTTTGTAACCTTTAATACTACCACATATTGTGAAATGTAGAATTGCACACTGTATTGCAAAAAAATTATGTGATCCTATTCTGCTAGTCATATGAAACTCAATAAACTCAAAAAAAAAGCAATCAAAGAGTGGATTGATACTCTAGTCTACAGAATTCCTACCACTGTTGAAGCAACCTTGATGCAATTTACCAGCAGCTTCAGAACAAGGTGCAAGCTATATTTCTCCAATGATCTATTACAACAGGTGTCATATAACACGCATTGAATTAGGTCATTGTTTACGCCTCTTTGTTCAAATGACACGACATGTATCCTGTAAGTAAGTACCTGTTTACATGCATAATCAGATTCGTAATCATTAATCTGCCATTTTCTTTTGTTAACCTAAAATTAGAACACCTGACAATGCACAAATACAATCTTCAACGAGAACTGATTTGACAATGCATTTAGATGCTAAACAATAATAATTCATTAGTGCAACATAATAAGTGTTAAAAATGCAAATGTTGCCACAATGCAACAGATTTTGATGTACAGTTTGATGTGGGCAGCCAATGGAGTTGTTAATCGTGTGTGTAAAATGCGGATAATGCTTAACTTAAATACAGCCTTTTAAACTAGAAAATCATCATTAACAATGCTAACATAAAGATCTTTTTTTTTCTGGGTTCTGCATGTTGCTGTGACTAAGAAACTATCTTTGGGAATCAGACTGATTAGATGAAGTCTGCTCACCATAATTACAAAATATTCCCTTTCATGAGAGGTGGTATTTTAGTTTCATGTGAAAGTGGTTCTAAGCAACCTGTGGTCATAAACAACTGCAGAATTTCACGTAGACTGACAATCTTATCCAGGAGTATTAATGCAGAGGTTAGAAAATGCATACATGTACAAATCCTCTGCAAGCGCTGATCTGGAGTATGGTAAATTAATGTTTGATGGGCATTGCTGTGTACCAGTGTCCAAAATAGAAATGATTGTTTTTAACATGAAGAAAAGTGTGTAATGTCTTAAATAATTCCTCCACTTAATATAGCACATAAATTGCTGAAACATCTCAATGTATTCACAAGTAAGTACCATCAAGTGTATTCAAAGTATTTGTAGTCAAGCACAAGTAAATTTATGCAGAGCAAGATCACACACGTATTCATAGTGAATTCCCAATTGAAGTGGATTGTTGGCCAGTACACAAGGAGAAACTCCCTTTTCTTTTCAATGACGTGGGATCTTGACTCCACCTGAACAGGCAGAGTGGATCTTGATTTTGACATTTCATCTAAAGGATGGCACCTCCAGTTGCGCAGCACTAACGCAGCACAGCACTGGACTAGTTTCAGCCTCGACTGTTGAGCTCAAAATCCTGATGATTAGATTAAATTTGGCACATATCCAAGTTCTAAATTACTTCTTTATAAAGTAATCAAAGTACGTCAGACAAAAACAAGTCACTTAACAGTAAATCTTTTGAGCTTTTAAGACTTGCGAAACGTAAAGCTGACGTAATCTGGTTAAGTTTGACATAAGCAGCCAAGTATTATTGCTTTATTTTAATTCTTAACATTGCGACATGACTTAAGGAAAGTATTAACTACAGTAACAACTTCTTCAACTGTCTTGTACATTTGGCACGTAGCCAAGTTCTAAATTACTCTCTATAAAAAGGGTTAAGTAAGTTCCCTACAAATGTCACTGGATAGATCAGTTGACGTTAAATCAGTACCTCCATCAAGTGATGTCTAATGGCTACAAATCAAACCATCAAAGAGGAATAATTATGAAAGCCTTGCAGATTGTGCATTTACAATTCAGCGAATCTGACGAGATTCTCAGTTATATTCGTGCCCCACACAGGCACGAGGGCAAAGCGTATTTAATAAAATAGATGGACCGAAACAGATAAAATTGAGATTTCCCGAAACACAACTGCAATGTAGATGTGCCGTCTTTACCACTTTTATTCTCCTGTGTTTGCCGATTTCGTTAATCTTCCTCCATATATCGTTTGGCGACCGCGGCAACACCCCGAGGGGGGGATACAGGATTAAACCATCGCGTATCTTTAAAGTGATGTTAAAAGAGATCGGGGTCACGACCACCACCAGTCGCTGACCCGGCGATCCACAACCAACGTGCCCGGAAAATCACCAAAAGCCACAGTCAACGTGTTGCATTCGGGACACAAACCGGTCTTTTGCATTTTTTTGTTTTGTTTTTTAAAAAAAAAATAATGTCTCCATCACCAGAACGCGCCAAATATCTGATTGAAACCGATCCACTCGGGTGGACACGGATACGCGGCACTTGCACTGAAAGGCGCTCTCGGCGCCGCCGCGGGTGAATTGTGCCGCTGTTGCTGGACCGGGAGTGAGGAGTTGGGGCAGGGGTTCCCCCAGCATCCACACTCCTTACAGGCACCTGTCTGGTCGATGGGTTCCGATTGCAACCCTTTCCCCCCCCACCCCCCCCCCTCTCTCTCTCTCTCTCTCTCATACTCATTGCGAGCTTTTGCCCCCCCTGTCCGCCGCTGCCTCGTCCCTAAAATTAAACGTGGGAGGGAACGAAGGAAGGGAAGGGAAGCGAAGGGAAGGAAGCTCGCAACTTTGCTCAGGGAGTGAGTTGGGTCCAGCGTTGCTGACATGACAAGCTTCCTCCCTTCCTCGAAGCTTTTTCCTCTCGACGGCGGCAACGAACCGCCTGGAAAATAACCCCCCACCCCCCAAAAAAAAATCTCCCACACACACACACACAGAGAGAGAGAGAGACGACCCGTCTGATCAGGAGAGACGGCCAAGTCCAGCTGAACCCGGTGTGAACCGACTGCCACGTACATTAAATTCCCCCCTCCCCCCCCCACCACCACCACCACCACCGAGAAAAAAAAACGTCCGTTATATTTAAATGTCGCCCCAAAAAGTACATCAAAAAAGTGTGAGGTTTTTTTTTAACACTAAACACACACCTCCTCACACACACACACACATTGACACACAGTTATTTTTTTTGTGCCGCCGACGATCAAATTAAAAGGGAGAGGGAGAGGGAGGAAAGAAAAAAAAATCAAAAGAACTTTCTCGAACTGGCGAAGCCACGCAACATGTCCCCCAAAACAATCCCACCCCGGGATCCCGAGCCTCCATCCCGTGGGATAAAGGCGGCCGTCGGAAAGAAGAGAGGGAAAAAAAGGAGATGAGCCTGAAACGGGATGGGATTCAGAGAGAGAGAGAAAGAGAGAAAAAGAGAAAGAAAAAAAGAGAGGATAAAACACTCACACATCACCTCTCTCTCTCTCTTTACTTCTCCCCCTCCATCTCTCCCTCGTCGCTAAACGTAAATAAAATAGCACTCAGTCACCACGAGAGACGTCGTCGTTTGCGTCAAATAAATAAAAATATATCGGTATATATATATATATATAGATATAAGTGTGTATGTATATATATGTATATATATAACCACCAACAAAACCCACAGCAACAAGTCAAGTCGGCAGTTTGTTCTGTTCTGGAAGCCAACGTTATTGCTGAGGAGTTGGGGATATTCCTATTATTATTACCCCCTCTCCTCTCCCCTCCCCTCCCCCGGGCTGGGGGTGAAGGCCGGTGGGTCTCCCTCCCTCCATCCCTCCATCCCTCCCGCACTCAGTGACACTCACCTCGGACACAAAGTAGAGACATAGTCACCAAAGTCGGTGTCGCTGCCACTTAATTAAGAGGCGAAATAACCGGAATGTGGGCGAGGAGGGCGCTGCTGCTGCTGCTTCTTCTTCTTCTTCAACTTCTTCTACTGCACCGGCGCCAGTGCTCGCTCCCTGCCCGGCACGGCGGCTGACAGGTGGAAGCAACTCTCAGCTGCTCGGCGACACCGCCGCCTCTCACATCCCATCGCCATGTTGCCACCGACTCGTCGCTCCAGGTCCAACAGGCGGAAGTCGCGCGTGGAGGAGGGAGGGGGCGGGGGAGTGTGTGTGTGGGGGAGAGTGATTGACAGGCAGCTTCACCAATAGAGAGCGACTGACGCGGAGGGTCCCACGCCCAGTCCCGTTCGCGAGCCAATAGAAGAGGCGTGAGGGGAGTGAGGGGCGGGACCTGGTCAGGTCGGTGTCTGGAGTGTGTGGTGTGTGTTGTGAGGTGAGTGACGTCGGGATCACTCAAAGCCTCTTCAATGCTAATCCCAACCGCAGGTGAATGAAGCGTTTGCTCCGTCCACCTCATCCAACCGCACGCTCCTCGGGCACAGTTCCCAGCCCCTCACCTGACTTGCGTTATCAGTTGTTTCACGAGAAACATTGTGATTCAGTTACTCGATTGCACCCCTCGAAACGCAATCTGAGTTGCCCTGTGCATGTAAATCCCAAATCTGTCCGATGTAAATGTTTATGAAAATGTACTCATCCATTGCACGTTTCTCGGGAATTTGTTTGGAAGTTTGCAGTGCTTTTTGCTGGATTTCGAAGAGTTGGATTAAACTTTAACTTTTCTGTCTTCTCGTGTTACCGAGCAAAAATGAATGCATTGAATAGCCTATTAATGATATTAATTGAAGGCCAATAATTTATCCTCTGGCTATAACCCCCCAACACTGATCATGTTGGGTTTAAAATATACTGTCTTCTAATATTGTTTTGCAACACTATATTTAGTTTGCATTTTCAAAATATATTCTCTTTACCACAATCTTATTCACAATGTAATCACATCTTTAAAAAAAAATGGTTCATCGTAATTACGTATCCAAGTAATTTGAAGATTCAGTAGTTCGTTAAAATTACTAAATGCGGTTGAAATGCAGAAAAATCGTTTTGTTTTCAGGTAGTTTAATTGCATGCATTGTGTCGATTTTCTTACTTGCACTTGCATCGCTTTAGCTTTTAAAATCATTGTTATATGGTTGGTTAATGCCACATTTATGTTTCAACAATTCTAAATGTTTACATATTAATTGTCAGTTTAAAGTTAGGGGAAGCATGTTTTCCAATCAAAAGTGTTAATCGTTACAAAATCATTTTCAGCAAGTTAAATACTTGTGTAACAGCCATTTAAGAAATACTGTCATTTAAGAATGATACCACATTAATTAGATTACTGTTAATGCTATTATGTAGATTCATATTAATCAGTAGTGTTATCCGCAGTACAATGGACACATAATGAAAGTATTTCATATCGCAATGTAACTCATCGAGCAGAGATATTTAGACTTGAATTCAGACGGTCTTTGTGGACGAGAGATTTCCTAAAGGGTTAAATCTGAATCATTATAAAGTATCACTGCAATTGAGGTTCTGTGCAGAATGGTTTCTGTTCAGATCGTGGATTATCTATTTAGCTCTGTCATGTCGATGTCACTAGATTTTTTGCTTACAATGCGGCATGGTGAACAAAATTAAATAATGTAAAATGAATTGAGAATGTAGATAAATATTTAATACGGTACCATCCAAAAAGAACTGCAATTGTAAGCTGAAACTGATAAGCACCTTTATGAGTTAACAGGAGGCAAAGTACCTATTAAGATGCGCAAAGGAACATGCAATCTGTCCAATGCAATCTGGTGGATATACAGCGCCAGTAATTCATTTCAAATAAACCGCTTCTGCTTCTGCTTGGTGTGATGTGGGCTGGAACTCAAATTATATCCACGTTGTGAGGAAAATCCACTCTATTTGCAAAACAATTTCATAAAGGTGTGTTGCTGTATTTATTGCTAATATGGGGCTGGAGGGTTGTCTGTCCATTCTGATTGGCGTCTTAGAAAGAAATTAATGTGACGAATTAATATTGTGGATGTGTACCCAGACTAAAAACATTGAATGTCTCACTCACACCCTCCAAATTTATGCAGAGAGGGAATTTTCGCTTTGCTTGCAATCAAAGTTTATTGGGAAGAACTTATTTTGTTATGTGTAAAAAAANCTTGTTATACTTCTCCAGGATATCTTCACTTCCAATACATCTGACACCAGTAAATCACTTCCCACAGGAGCACAGTGACACCAGATCCAACGTATTAAATCGCCCTTTGATTGCAACACAGGAAGAACATGCTGTGTGCAGTATATGAATGGCGCGTCAGTCACACAGTATTTGCTGCTAATACTTGTAATGTTTTAAATATAACTTCATAATGCTGCAAATCGTACTAAATATAACGACTTACAGCTAATTAGTTAATCACTGCTTACAACGAGGCACTCCCTGCTCGCTTTATGTCCATCCCACAAATCTCATCAAAACTCCTCTAGTGCATTGCTGCTGCATTTGAAGGAGAATAGTACCACCTAGTGAATGTGCTGACAAAGTGCTCTTACTTTGCCTACTATTAAACATCATCCCTCTTAATGAATAATAATCCTTGCATTTGTTATAGTGCCTATAACGTTGCGGTGTCTCAGAGGAAATTGCTTGTGAAATGAAGTGTATTTGTAGGCCAACACAGCAGGGAACTTTAATAAATGAAATGTTATTCAGATTTGCTTTGCAACCCTGTTAAGTTTGTGTTCTTTAAAGCAGTTTGTCTTTTTGGTGAAAATGCATCAATAAAACATTTTTAAAGTAAAACCACACCATGAAAAAAAAACTGCTTGCACTACCTTACATTTTTACAGAATCGTATGCATCAAAACTTCTCAATGCATTTTCGAGTAATTCGTCTTGGCTCATTCTCGAATGTCGCTCAAATTCATTTCCAGAAATGCAACCTTTGAAGAGACATTAAACCAAACTATTGTCTATTCTTTAAATGGACGTCAAATATGCTATTTGAGTAGGAAAAGAGCCTTTCCTCGTATCCAAGCCAACGGCATTTTAGATAAATTGATAATTCATCTTATGGTTTCAGCATGTCATCATTCAGTTTTGCCTTTGAATGTCTTCCCGATGTGAAAGGCACCATATAAATGCAATTTGTTGTTTTGGAAGTATCGTATTGTGCACAAAATGCTTCATTTGCTTGCAAAAATGGTCACTGCATTTTACTGTAATTACTGTAAAGTGCTTTATATTCTCCAACATAAGGTGCAATAAAAATGCAAGTTCTTTATGTGTAGCAGCTTGGTAGATAATAAGGTAATTTGTTAGTTAGTGGTTCTGGCTCAATAACATTGTCATTCAAAGTATTGAAAATTGGACATGATAGATTCAGCAACACATTTTCTGGTTCATTGCTATTGTAATGTTTTCATCATAGTGGACCTCCTGACCATGTCACTTGGATGGGCATGATATCTTCTGCTTCTAGCAAAAATATGTTTTTGCTGCATGTTTGGTGGTGAATTGTTGTGTTTGGCAATAATTTGGCAGAAAATATGTACAGTAGTATAATGGTGGCTCAAACAGGATATTGGAGTGTAATTCCCCCACAAAATATAGAGTCTATTCACTTTACAGTATATCCTGTGAAGAGCTTTGAGACATCTAGACAAAGTGATTATATCAAATGTAAGGATTATTATTATTATTGACAGCAACTGGAGAAGGGAGTAACAGGAGTGAAGTGATTTGCATCTGCACAGTAAAGTATGAAAACAATGGGTGGAAATTAAACTGAGCTGCACTCAGAAATCATCCCTCAAAGCTTTGTGTGGGTCTACTGAACATTTTTTTAAAAATATCATACAAACCCAGAAGCACTATGTTTTCTTTTAAATGTTAAGCAACCATCTCTTTAATAATATTTAAAAGCCCAATGGTGTTTTGTTCATGTGTGTTTTCCAAACCAATTCATGACAGTGTTGTGTGGGCAGAAGAAACATGGCTTCCGTCTCCATGTGCAGCCCATTCCACACATTCATCACTCTCTGTGTAAAATGATTAAAATCTAAACGATCTGTTCACCTTTTCACTTCTGAGCTTAAGTCCGAACCTCGTTGTTGTAGATTTTGTGATTATATTAAACATATTAAACATATTTCTTTTGTGTTTGTACTATAGTTTAGTAATATTTATATCTGCTGAACAAAGGCAAAAAGAAAACACAGTGCCGCTGTGTTTGTATGACATTTTTTTAAAAATGTTCAGTAGACCCACACAAAGCTTTGAGGGAAGATTTCTGAGTGCAGCCAAAACCAATTTGCACTTCCTACATTCATACTACAATGGTGTGAATCAATGTGCTACCAGTCAAGGTACAGGGTGACTTTCAGATTGTTCACCTTCACACCAATTTATTCCTTTTGTTTGGTGATTTGCCAAGGGTATTAAAGCAATCTTTATTAAACTATTTGATGAACAAAGTGGACGTGACACAAGTACATTGTTAAAACATAATGATGTGTTTGCTCATGAAATAATACCGAAATTTGATCTAGTTCCTTGAGTTTGTTTTCCTGGTTGACACTCTAGTACCGTATCCCAATCACACCAGTCCTAGCCAGGCTCCACTGGCCCCCCAATCAGCGAACGGATCCTCTCACTTATTTTCAAATCATTTCATGCCTTCACACCTCCCTACATATCCGACCTGCTTGCCCTCACTCCACCACCCGCTGCCTCCACTCGGCTGACTACAGCCTCCTGTTTGTCCCTCGTGCTCTGCCCTCTGTTCCACCAGCCATGCCTTCAGCCACTACGCCGCAAAACTTTGCAACTCAATTTCTCAATCCCTCCTCCTTCCTTCTGCCTTGCCTCGTCCCTCCCCACCTTCAAATCCCATTAAAGACCTTTTTGATCGTGATTGCGGTCATCTCTCCCCCCCCTCTCCCCCTGGTTTGTTGTCAACACCACAACTGTGAAGAGCTCCAGAACAGTTATCCATGTGGAGGGTGCTATATAAATGTAACAGAATTTCTGACCAACAAACCTCCAGGTGAAATAAGTAATTCACCTCAGAGCAGTTTGTGAGGCTTTGCTGGGTGCAGAATAGCTGCTGATTTGCCTTAAAAAAATGCTGCATGTAATAGCATTTTTTATTAAGCGC